TGTCTCTGACTCATAATGACCCCTCCTTGGGTTTCCAAGGCAGTATCACCACGGAAGTAGATTGCCCAACCTTCCTTCCGAGGAGTGGCTGGTGGGTTTGAACCACCAACCTTCTGGTTAGAAGTCAAGCGCCTTAGGCACTACACCACCAGAGCTTCCACACCACAACATAAAGAAAATAAAAATCATCACAACCAGACCAATAAGCAACATCATGATAAAAAAAGAAAAGATTGAACTGACTAAGGATTTCATTTTACTTGGATCCATAATCAATGCTCATGGAAGCAACAGTTAAGAAATCATATGACACATTGCATTGGGCAAATGTATTGCTAAAGACCTCTTTAAACTGTTAAAAAGCAAAGATGATACTTTGAAGACTATGGTGCCCCTGACCAGAGTCTTGGCATTTTCAATCACTTCACATGTATACAGAAGACGGACAATGAATGAGGAGGACTGAAGAAGAATCAATGTATTTGAATTATGGCACTAGTGAAGAACACTTACTATACCATAGACTACCAGAAGAACAAACAAATCTGTCTTAGAAGAAGTACAGTCAGAATGCTCTTCAGAAGTGAGAATGGCAAGCCTTCGTCTCACTTACTTTGGACATGTTATTAGGGAGGACCAGTCCCTTGAGAAGGACATCATGCTTGGTAAAACAAAGGGTCAGTGAAAAGAAGACCCTCAATGAGATAGACTAAAACAATGGCTGCAACAATGGGCTCAAAACATAGCAATGATTGGGAGAATGGTACAGGACAGGGAAGTGTTTAATTCTGTTGTACATAGGGTTATTATGAATCAGAAAAGACTCAATGGCACCTAACAACAACATATTATGAGACACCACCAACAGTGTAATAGTCTATAAACAAATATATTTCTATACCTTAATAATTCATATTAGGTGAGCTAAAGAAAGACAATCAATTAGCATTAAGCAAGTTCAGGTCAGATTTTGCCACCAATGAGCTATAAGGGAAATAAAAAAAGAAACTTTTCAGTTTTAGGGCTTTGTGGTTGTGGAAATTGCAGAAAAGAGTAACGCTACTTTAATTGTCAGGAGCAAACTGTTCTACAAGCCTACATAAATCCTTTACTTCTTTATCTTTCTATCATCTTTCATTTCTTCTGAATTTTTATTGTTGCTTAAAATAACAGAACCACCACTTATCTATCAGTTTGTCATATTGCGGTGGCTTGCATGTTGCTATAAGGCAGGAACTTAGGCTACCAGTATTTCAAATACCAGCAGGGTCATCCATGGTGGTGAGGTTTCAGCAGAACTTCCAGACTAAGACAGACTGGGAAAAAGAATGGGGCCATTCACTTCTGAATAAACTGGCCATTGAAAACCTTATGAACAGCATAGAAACACTGTCTGATACATTACTGGAAGACTATGAATAGCCATGAAACATTGTTTGATATAGTGCCAGAATATGAGGCCCTCAGGGTGGAAGGTACTGAAAATATGACTGGGGAAGAGCTGCCTCCTCAAAGTACAGCAAACCTTAATGACATGGATGGAATAAAGCTTTCCAGACTTCCATTTGTTAATAGGGCATGACTCAAAATGGGAAGAAACAGCTGCACCATTAATAATTGACATGTGAATTGTAGGAAATATGAATCTAGGAAAACTAAAAGCTGTCAAAAAAGAAATGGAATGCATAAAGATTGAAATCTTAGGAATTGGTGAGCTGAAATGGACTGCTTTGGGCCATTTTGAATCAGACAATCATATGGTCTACTATACCAGGAATGACAAATTGAAGAGGAATGGCGTCATATTCATTGTCACAAGGGTGTTTCAAGATCTGTCCTGTACTACAATGCTGCAGTAATGGCCTGCTGTGTTGTTTGGTAACATCAGGACTGTGTCATTTTATTTGTCGACCTTGGGCTTCTTATCCTCAGCAGCCAGTAGCTGCCTGAGTGAAGAATGCCTCTAGCTTCAGTGGGCAGGAGCAAGAGGCAAAGCTGAAGCCCAAGGTCGGGGGGCTTTCACACAGTCCCTAGAGCCTGGCACCTTGAACTCAGACTTAAAGCCTCCACACTGTAAGAGAATAAATTCCTGTTTCTTCAAGCCATCCCATTTGTAGTATATTCTTGTCAAAGTGACACCAGGCAACCAAAACACCAACTGACTAAAAGAGATTTGTACCCACTCCAAAGAAAGGTGATCCAACAGAATTAAAAATTATTGAACATTATTATTATCACACACAAGTAAAATATTTCTGAGGACATTCAAAAATGGTTGCAGCAGTATACTGAACTTCCCAAAATTCAAACCAGATTCAGAAGAGGATACAGAACAAGGAATATCACTGATGTCAGATGGATCTTGGCTGAAAGCAAATAATACCAGAAAGATGTTTACTTTTGTTTTATTGACTATGCAAAAACATTCGATTGTGTGGATCATAACAAATTATGGATAACATTGAGAAGAACAGGAATTCCAGAACACTTAACTGTGCTCATGCAGAACATGTACGTAGACCAGGAGGCTGTTATTCAAACAGAACAAGGGAATATCACATGGTTTAAAATTAGGAAGGGTGTGTGTCAGGGTTGTATCCTTTCACCATACTTATTCAATC